TTAATTAAACAGTGCCCTTTAACATTTATATATCTAGGCGCCAAAAGTCAGGCCGGTTGAAGGCGTATATTTCTTTATTTGTTTGTTTATCAAGAAAGGACATTCAGATCTATCTCCGTGTAATCAACTGCAATGTTTTCTTCCATAAATGCTATTCGAGGGATGTCCCCTGCCAAGTGATTCATTTCGATTGTGGTGCGAATTTTGTTGGTGGTGGGGGAGAACTTTAACGGATTTTCAAGTTCACGAATTCCGAGCCCAATCTTTGAGGCGAAATTTTGCGAACCATCGCATAAAATGGAAATTTATCCCACCTGCGGCTTCCCCATTCGGGAGAATGTGGGAGGCGAAGTCGTTCAAATCACATCTTTTACGAGTCTTCGGGACACAGTTCTTTCATATGAAAAGCTGAAATATATCTTAATTCAGTTCGCGTCTTTATTAAATTCTCATCCGCTGTGTTCCTTTAATTTGATCCACTCATTTCGTCTCAATTTTGGACTTTGAATCTCTGAAATATGTTCCTTTTTTTAAATTGAAAATTGCCGGAGAATTTGATCGGCATAACACCCAATGGTTTAACGAAATAACAGTTGTAGGACCAATTGGTTCAATCCTTTTGGGATCAGTGGAGAAAAGAATATCCGCACGAATTGCACACAAGATTACCTTAAAGTGGGATCACAAATATGAAGACCTAGAAGATAACAGGCTAACAGACTGACCAACTAGCAAGGATGAGGCTGCCTTCTCCTACGACCAGAACTAGGTGCACCCGGATATGTGCTTAAGTTGGATCTTCAAAAATGTCTTGGGAAAAAACTCAAACCCTAGACAAAAGCACCAGTCATGAGGAAAGCTAAGCGATTTATAAAACTATCAAAATGGAAGGAGCTTCGCAGGGTTTAAGGCAAATTGTAGCCCTCAATACCGGCCACTGCTTTCATAACTACCACCGAATGAAGATGGGCAAAACAGTGATAGAAAGATCCCGACTCTGTCAGGAAAATCAGAAACATCGGTACATACACTTTGTGAATATAAGGCATTAGCCCGATTCCGGTACGGTCACTTCGGTAAGACAATTTTCATACCAAAAGAGCTGCACAAGGAAAGTGCTTAGTTATTATAGGAAAACGTGCACTTTTCAAGGTATTTCCACAATGGATCTACTTAAGTCGTAGTGGAGGAAAGAAGTTTTTATTATTTTTACTCAACCCCCACTAATAAAAAAATATATAAATGGTCAGCCCGTTTATTTTATTGAGTAATCAAGAGGCTTAACCGTAAATTTTAACCGTCGCGATAATGAAATGGTCATTGGTTTGAAAAAGATATTAAACGTGACCTCGTTGCTTCTTACAAAGTAAAATCCTCCCCGTTCGTGGATGCACGAAACCGACTGAATTATTCCCCTGAGAAACGCAACGCCTTTTAAGAGAACTATTAACTAACTCGAACTATTAATTTAAAGTAGAGTTAAACCTTCCTCTTTCTAATCTACTGGGAAAGAGCGATTTCGACTGTCAGCCCGCTTCTGTTTACCAAATGAAATAAAACCCAATGAAAGCTAAAAACACGGCAACGACTCAGCGTATTGATAAGTAGAGATTTTATTTGATACCCCGTTAGGATTTCTGTTAAAGACTATATTAAAAACTCTCGCGTTACATATTGCTTCGGCTTTTCCTGCAATGATTTTCGTCTCAAAACGTACACGAAGAAATTATTAATTAAATTGTTGGATTACATTTTTCAAATATTTGCATTGTCAGTATGTCTTGAAATGTACAATTTAATAATAATTTGACAATTTCCCGATTGAATATTGCAATAAAATAATAACTTACTAAGTACTTTAAATAAAGTCAACGAGGACATAATTAACGTCGAACTGGAAAGATTTATGAAATAAAACAACAACCGCCTAAGCAGAGTTAAAGATAATGTAATATGCCTCATAGAAAAGCAAACTTGATTTACTCGACAGTAAAATGTTTTGACATCGTTTTGCACAACGTTATTAGGGAGATTTTGCATAACGTAAGCATGAAAATTAACGCTAAATCGACTGAAGTGCGCATGCGCAGATTTAACGGAACGCGTTCTACTTGTCTTCGGATAGCACGTTAACGGATTCGGTTTAACGGTTTAACCATTTAGAAAAATAATATTAAAAATATTATTACTACTAGTTGTTAATTTTATCGTTAATATTTTACAATTCATACTATTTTCGTAAAATTCGACTCCTAAGAATGTATTTATACTTGTCCTAGCATTAAAATATTTAACTTTTTTATTTACATACAACCGGAATCGGTCTTTTATCGCCCTCTACTCCCAAATGTCTGGGACCCAGCAGGTGACTTTGTTTTGCATACCTCTGTTTAGTTTAGTTTTGCTATTCACTACCATTTTTGGTCTAATCGTTAATCATGTTAGAACTTATGCTTTGATGGCTGCTTGGCTATCTGGCATGAAAACTATACTCTCATTTTTGTACCTTTTATCCAGATAGTACTGGGTACATCTCTTAATGGCATGGACTTCAGACTGGAAGATACTGGTGTATTTTCCCAGAGTTCCGAATACTCCTGCCTCCTTGTGTGATCTATCAGTGTACTAGCAGATTCTTAAAGGGCGTGTTTCTACCTCCTTCCCAGTCTTTTTTTTGTATTTAAGTTTACTGTTGAACTCGTGAGTATCGGATAGCCTTGAGTATCGGATGTTCTTTCATTAGTCTGTTTCCATACCACGATTTTAGTTTTAGCCCAGTTTCTCTTGATGCTGCTGATGATACAATAATATTCTACGCTTTTCTCATGAGGTAGGAGCACATTATTTTCTCCTACCAGCTGTGGGACATGTTCTCAACGCTTCCGTTATTCGAACGCATGCGTGTCTGTGTTTTCGTGAGTTCTCTCCGCTTTGTTATTTGCTGTACGGCCCGTGCTATTGCACCGAATGTGATGATAGGTCTCACCATCATGGTATACATCCAGAGCAAGGTTTTTGGCCTGTATCCTCAGTTTTTTCCTGCTTAGAATTAATATAAATTAATAATTAGATATTATAATATTAATGAAGTTATAAATACTCATAAAAGCTTTTTCTTTTAAAAGGCACAATTACAATTTCAGATGTTAAAACGACAGCTATACAAAAGAATCCCAATTGTGTGTACACCATTAGTAGTAAATCTGGTATTGTTCTAGAGTTGAACGGAATGAATCCGTACAAAAAACTCTGATAAAGGTAAAGCTTAAAAGTTTATTGTCACGCTAGAAGTCCTAGAATTCATTTCCGTTCCAACCAAGAAATAAATCCCTAGAGGCTGTAGACTTTCGTTATTTATTGAATTAAGATTAACCTTTTATTTAAAACGACAAAAATTTATTGTGTTAATTTTTTCCTTTGCTTTTACATTTGGCTGTGGTTTTAAATGTAAAACATTATTTAGTTTAGTTATTTCCATAAAATATTAAATAATTTCAAAACAGAAAAGAATAATTATTTATCCATTTCCACATTTTCGAAAGTTAGAGAGCAATAAATTTCAATATAATTTAGTTAATTATTCTTCTTATTGTAAGGTCTTGGTTGAGATAATAAAGGCAGTGTCACGAGCGGGATTCGAACCCACGACCTTTGGCGAAATTCGCACTTGTTACCACTTGAGCTATCGTGACTTCGATCCTCTCGGACACCAATTCTCCATCTCAATCTACAACCGTTCGAATTTTATCTCAACCAAGACTTTACATAAAAAGAATAATTAATTGAATAAATTACCTTGGTCATTGACCACTAAAACATAAACGTTTCAATATAATATTTATAAAAGTCGATAAGCATAAGAACAATTTCCATTAAATTTGTTTCAGCGGTTTAAAAAAAATAATTTTAAGATTTTTATCTGATAAATAAGCTGTATAAAGACTTAATGGTTATAAACGCAATACAATTATTTGATTATCTTGTTAAAGATGTATAAATACAAAAACTTTGGAGTATGTTAATTCAATATTTAACATACATAAAAAAATACGTAGTGGATTTAATGAACGGTTTTTGATGTCTTCTTACTAATGAATATGTAGTAATGTGTATTTTATTTGTGAAATGCCTCAGTTAGTTTTAACGATGCATAGTGACAATTATTGAACGTAAGGACCAAATTTTGGCTCGATGAGACAATCTTGTAGCCGGGTCCCTTTGAAAAAGGGCTGCAAGTGGCTAAAGGTCAATTATTGATATTTGAAAACTTATAAAAAAACCGTTGTACGAAGTAGGGCGCATCATTTACTGTGCCGGGAACTGATTAATGATAGGGAGCACCAGTCAAACGTTATAATTAAAATGATGTACCTTCAGCTAATGGAGCGTAATTAATTTTAATTTATTTTCTCAAATCAAACGTAAGAATTTTCGATTTTTTTCGTCACAATGGATATTACTCTGGAAGTCCAACAACGTCCAATTGAATTAAACCAATTGTCTACGTTTACAACCGGATTATTGTTTTCTTTAATGTTTAATCTTTTTTGGATTCTGGAATCGGCCAAAAAAAGAAATATCCTCCCAAATAATATATTCAGAAAAGTAACTGGAAGTAAAAAACTGAAATATTTTGCAAAACGTTTAAAAAGAAAATAAAAAAATTTATGACCGGAATTTATTACATAGTGTCTCGGACATCTTTAAATTTTAAACATCCTTTATAAAACTGTCATAAATCGATAAAAGAATATATTTTAACCATTTTTTCAAACAATATATTGATTCTTGGTTTTTTATTTTAACAAACAATTTCAAAAATATAATAATAATACATTTTGATTTTTTTTACAATAACAATTTCATTATTACAGTTTAAAATGCCAACTGGCAAAAAAGTAACAATCGGTAGAAAGAACTCATCCACGATCTAGCGGAAAATTCCAGTACCCTTGCGACCTATGACTAAGGTAATATGCAGGCCAGTATTATACAGCAACCTCGTTAATTATCCTTTATAAAGAAATTAGAAACATGTTGCGAGTTAGCGATCTATGCTCGGGTCGATTCGTCGGTTTGCTAAAAAGTCGAAAATCGAAACAAACAAATTTATATAAACAAAACATTGTTTTAATTATCGCTAAATTTGCATCACTAGTCCATTAAAAAATAAAATGTTGGTTAAAATAATAAGTCTATTGAGGAATTACAGTTATCGAAAAATGATTCTTTTGTTTACATTTATACGATATATGCGTAATTTGAAAACGTGTCACAAATTTAAATTAAAAAACAAAAACAAAAATTAACGCCAATATGGTATCCAGTTTTTAAGTTTAGCAATCAATTTTTGATAGTGTAGTTAATTAAACAAGCAATTATTTTGATTCAGACTTCGACGGTTGATCAACCGAGATATTTTATTGAGGTATTCTAGAGACGTTAAAACAAACAAATATTTAATTATAAAATGTATCTGTGCTTTATTAAAAGTTTGTACATTTTGTTACAATTTGTATTAGAAACTATTCTAACAGTCAAATATACAAGAATAATCTTAATTTTTTATCAATGGGCTTCCCCACTTTTGTCTTTAAGATAAATAAAATAATTAATTAACAAATTAAACATTGTAAAATTATTATATTTAATATTTTATTAGGTAGAGTTATGAATCGAACCGTTTTTAATCCCGTACAATGAAGCTTGCCAAACAGCTTAGTTATTAAAGATTGTGAAAATGCAGACCAGAAACCCCCATCTTGTTGTAGCATAGTAATAATAAACTAATTATTCAGAAATCGTGAGATGCGGTCTGNCACCACATGTAATAATAAACATTGAAATGCTTTGTTTATGATATGTTATTAACAATATTGTACCGATTTGGAAGCTGCGATTTTCGTAGTCTCATGGGGTACATTTTGGGGCCAGGATATCTCTTAATTTATACGTACGAGTTTCCATTACAACATAAAAGCGTAACACCTAACATGGCCCAATGTATGATCTTATTTACTTATATGTTTAAAATAAAGTAATAAGGTTAATATTTTAAGAAATGTAAAATTTTTTATCGATTGTTAAGATAAAGTTTCCTTGTCAACAAGAAATAAAATTAGGCTCAGTTGCGTACAGTTTCTTTACATCTGGCCCGGAGGACCAACGGATGAAACAACAAACTTTGCCGATAATACAACTTTGTAGCATATTTTTGAAGAAACTCAATTGGTAAAAATCCTACATTCAGAAAATCAATTACGGGTTCAAAAATGTACAATATAATTGTGAATTTCACAAATAATAAAAGAAACAATTTTATTATTACCCTGGGCTATTCGTTTGTATTAATAAGCGCTATAGACGAAGTGGTGATACACGCAAAAAACTTTGAAGTATTATTTTTCACAATAGAACTTTCCCGAAATTCTCAAAACCCAAAAAGAGAGTGCAATGTTTCGTCATTGTCAGGCCTAACCCAAACCGTACCTTACCCTACTAATCCTCTCTTAGCACTAACAATAACGTTAACCCTAAACTAATATACCCTCACCCTAAATAAACATAATAAACAAAACAAATAAATAATCAAATAAACAGAGCGCTGTTTGTGACTGGAATCACTAATCAGTTGCTAACTTATTAGTTAAGAGGATCCACACACGAAGTTACTCAAAAATCTTCAGTGAGGTCACAACTTTTTAACTAGATGAGTGTTTAAATATATCTGGAGAACAAGAAACTGCATATGTAATAATAATAATTAAAATTAGGTAAAACGTGTGGTGATTAGTGACCGTTAATCGATAATTATTCATAAATCGTGAGATGCCGTCTGGTGTGATGTAAGTTTCAGAAAAACATTTTCTTTATCGTGCCAACGTTTCGATCTTTATTGAGATCAACTTCAGGGCCTGGGATTTACAAACATTGTTTACATTTAACAAATACATTTAGGATGTGAAGAAGTGATTTATACAATGCAAAATATATTTTTTTATATTCAATCAAAGTATTTATACTCACTCAAAGTGTTCGTCTTCTGTGTAATTGTGCCATTCTTGCGTGTCGTGTTGGGAGTGCCCGTCGTGTTTCGCACCCCTTCAAAATCCAACATATATAGACACAAAATAGCAAATTCTCACTGCCACTCTCAACACGACACACAAGAATGGCACAATGACCGTTTGTGACCATTTCATTTGTCGTCGAGAATGCAATCCGATTACAAGACATTTGAAAAATGGCAAAAAGGAGGGAAAATTCAAAAGGTGGGGTTGAGATGGGAAGTTAGTATCTGAGTGGATCGAGGTCAGGATAGCTCAAGTGGTAGAGCAGCGGCGTATCTATCCGAAGATCGTGGGTTCGAATCCCGCTCGTGCCATTGACTTTTTTATTTCAACTAAAGAACTTAATTAATTGTAGTAATTTTAATAATTATTTTACGAAAAAGAGACTTGTATTTATAGTTATGTGTAACCGAGATACTGAGCTTCACCTAGTTTTTATTATTATTATTACATTTGCAGTTTCTTGTTCTCCAGATATATTTAAACACTCATCTAGTTATAGCCCTGATGATGATCGTCCAAAGCTCGGCTAAGACTTAAAGAGTTTGTCGTTATTGTTGTGACATCACTGAAGATCCTTTTGTACAAGTTGTTCAACAAGCGGGTCGATACATCATCTCATCTTTAACCATTAAAAAATATCAAAATCACTATTTTCTTCAATGAGAATATCGTCTTACGGCTTTGTATGTTGAGAAATGATTCAAGCAATAAAGCTGTCACGCTACTGTACTATCATCAGTAATTAAGAGTTCTAAGAAGAAAAAGTATTTGGGTTGATGCGTTTTGTTATGTATGTTTTGTATTTTGTTTTGTATCAAGGCCGTACCTTGATCTAGAGTGTTCATGCGTTTTTCCAACATCAAGCCACGCCTTTTCAGTGACGTCTTTCATCGAGCACCCAGGAAACGTAAAGTTTTTTATTTTTGTTCACAATTAATATGTTCGTCTGTCGATGTTTCGTCTTGAAAATCACTACACATTGATTAATAACTCATTAGTAATCAGGTGCTTCGTGTGCGGTGTCCTATTAAAAACATTGAAAATGACTCATTACAGGAAGATTACTAACTCGAATCACTAATAAGGTTTTGAGTAGCTATCACAATGAAGTTTATAAGGGCCGCCCAAAGCCCTTCCACAAGCCACTAAAGGGAAACGGAAGCCGAATTCCACTGGAAGAGGCCTGTTGGGTTTGCGCTGGATTGGAAGCCACACGTTTTCTTTTCTTGTTGGACTGGCACGTTTTCCTTGGCTAAATGAAAAAAAAGGGTGTTGTTTAGCAAAAACACCAGCTGAAATTCTTCTAGCGGGAATCATCACACAAGGTTTTTAATTGTAATTTGTTTTTCGTTGAAAAGGATTACCTTATTATTTTCAGTTACAACATTAAAGTTAAATATTTCATTTGTTTTAATTAACACAGTTTGTTTTGTAATTTGTTAACTTCAAAGTTTGTTTAATATTTCAATATAAGAATTGTTTCTGTTTTTTAATAGTCTTTTGATATTTTCAGTACTCAAAACTTTTCTAACCTTTCAAATTCATTCAAATAAGGAAAAGATCCATTCCTACGAGGGAGGACATCGTAAGGCAAAACCACGCTCTGCTACCACTATTTATTGCCTTGATGAGCTTCATGTCTAGGCCTAACCTTAGCATAACCTATCCCTAACGTTAACCCTACCTCACCATAACTGTGTCTAACCAACAATAGCTAACCGAAACATGCCAATTCCAGAAAAATCGATGAATTGAAATCCACCTTAAAAACATATCCAAGTAAACTGCAGTTCAAATAAAAACGCGTTCATATATTTCTGAAACAAGACCCAGGTAGTAATTTAGATCATCGGCTTCACATGATGCATGGTTAAACATTTAGTGAAACATCTATTTCCTTTATCGAAAACTAACCTAAGCAAACAACGGCCTATGGGCATTTTTAAGAAATGATTCAAATAAGAATCTTCCTTAAATGGAAGTACTTCTTTCGATGTCAAACTGTATATTTAATAAAAATTATTTGTCTTCCCTGCTTGTCATCTCAAATATATGTCTCCTATTAAAATAATAAGGCCTAATAAATACAGGGGTTGACAGAACCAATCAACGAATATAGACGGACCAGATTTAGTTGAAACGACCAAACTGCGAGTTCATCACCTCACAAAATTTTTTCTCCAGTCAAATTGTGATGGTATGTGATACGATCGTAATCGACACAGTTTTCAGTTTTTTCTCTCTAGCTGTAGATCGGGGCATTCGTGGATAAAATAACATAAATAAAAAGAACATAAAAGAAACAAATACTCATAAAAACAGAGAGAAGATAAGGCAGTAGGCTAGCACGCACACTACCGCAGAGTACTCGATATACCTCGGGGTAAAATATATTTTGAAATAGGTTTTGTAGTTTAACCCCCCCTCACCATGAAATAAAAACGAAACGAGTTTGAAAGTTTTCCATCTCAAGCAGAAAATAATAGTTTCTGGACGACATAAAAAAACCTTACTAAACGTTGGCAATTTGTTTTATAATCGATTTTTTCCATCATAAAATTGTTATCCTCTTCAACAGTTGCATATTTTTGCCCATGGCATGCGACGAAGAGATATGTGAAATAATCTGATGAGTCCTTTCAAAACGGAGCTAGCGTTAATTATGACCATTTGCCTGAATATTTCCATCGATATCAGTACATCTCGTAAACAATTATCGCCAGACATGTACAATATCGGCTGAGCAACGCACGAAAGAGTTGTTCCCATCCGTCAAAGCAGCAAAACTTGTGGCAAGAGTTCGTTCAATACTTAACTTAAAATTTTTGACGTTGTTATCAAAACACAACAAGAAAGAACGTAAAACTGTTAATGATACCCATCGTCTGTTATTCAATTCATCAACCTTGACCTTTTAGTAACTCAACGAAAATTTACAATTACAAAATTTTTACCAAAATTTAAACCGTGAATTCAAAGGAGGGTTAATATTATGACGGAACTTTC